CCAAATACTGTAGAGAGCTTCACATCAAATTATTGAGAACTATATGAAAGCATAAGTGTACCTTAATCTGTAGCGGGAAGAACATCGATCTGGTTTGGTCTTCCAGATGATTCCGTCAAGCTCTTGCGGGAACCTCTGACAAATGGGGAGTCGAGATTTAGCTTGACAGCTCATCCGGGGACCACAACCAATATATGATAGGGTTTCCGGTTCCACCCATCACAGAACAGGAAACTGGGCCTTAGGTTTCTACACAATACTGGGCCTCACCTTATAACTTAATAATTATAATTAGCCCAAACTTTAGTTGATTTAATTAGATCACTTTATGTGGGTTAGTATTTTTTATAATATACAATTATATATATTAGTGTATAAAATCCACATAGATCTTATAATTTCACCTTGACTTATATTCAAGATAACCTAAGTTGGGCTCTTGGATTTGGAATTCCTTGTTTGGTCATGATCTTTGCACTAGTTTGGTTTCTTCTTGGTACTTTCACCATCGGTTTCATGCGACTCATAATGATGATCAAGGACAAGGGCAAGGCAAACCCTTTTCGAGAATTGGTCCGGTGTTCATCGGAGCTGCAAGAAATTGGAGATAGACTTCTCCTGAAGTTTGTGTGGATGATATGGAGAATCAAGGTGTTCTTCCTCTTTCGGGCTCTCAACAATTCAAGTGAGTACACCAACTAATTAATAATGTTTTTGCTTTTATTTAGTTGCTTTGAGAAACTATAGTGACTTGCAATAATTAATCATGCCTGATGAGACTTGAGACTCATATGCTAAAACTGAGTAATTACTTTGCTTGCCAAGAGCAATATAGAGTATTCTCTCCATTCTAAAATATATATCGTTTCAGGATTTACAAAAAATTTTAAAGTATATGTCGTTTTACAACATCAAGGGCACTTTTATCTTGTTTTTTCAATATTACCTTTACATTAAAAATGAAATAATATTTAAAATAAGATTGTATTGGATGGTGATTGATAAAGATCACCATCAATAGTAGTTGAGAGAGGATTTACTTTAATGATAACTTTTTACTAAAGAATTATCATGAGTGATGGATATGATTTAGTAATTATCAAATTAGTTTAATTTAATAATTATCAATAGTAGCATTTATCTAGTAGTAGAGACATTTCCATAAATAGGAACCCACTTTGTTTTGTAATTAAGTCAAAATGTAGTTTTCAAATATTATTCTCATTCTTTTCTCTTTTATTTGTTTTCTCTAAATTCTAGTTTTATTCTTGGTATCAGAGAAGATTCTATCCTGCTTCTGCTGCTTCTACTTACTACTCCCTCTGTCTCGTAATTATTGTCCAGTTTGAGATCTCACTTTAGTACAGTTTGAACTAGAAATAGAAACCCAAACTGGACAATATTTATTTTTGTTTTTCTCTTCAACGAAATACATCATGATTTTCTCTAATCATGTGCATTCATAAATAGTATCTTTTTTTTTTCCTTCAAGAAAATAAATCATGATTTCCTGATTATGAGCATTTAAGAATACTAGCGATTGTGTCATTTTTAAATTTCAAATTCATCCCAAATCACTATCTTGCATTTCCCCTCTACTACTAATCTTATAATCCAGTTAGATTCTCCCACTAATAGCCAGTCCTCAATTGAACCACAAATTTTTTTTCTTTTTTTTTTCCACAAATCAATATCAGTTGATTCACAAATTTCAGACAAAGGGGAAAGTCACCTCTGAGTCAATCTACACAGATTTTCATTATGGAAAAAGTCTGATCTTCTCTCCGATGAAGAGTTTTGACTTGTCATACAACAGTCTAACAATCCACAAAAAATTCCCATTATGGCAAAAGTCTGATATTCTCTCGAAAGAAGAGTTTTGATTTGTCATAAACAATCTAACAATAAATTTCAGGCAATTTGTCCAACATATGGCCAGAATCACTGAAGGCCGAGTCTACAAGTTTTTCAATGCCCCTGTTCTTAAGGACGAGAAAGCCGTCAACACATTCAGAGCAAACTGAGTCTCTAACCCCCACTCAGTTTGAGGGAGATGATAAAGATCACTATCAATAGTAGTTTAGGGAGGATTTACTTTAATGATAATTTTTCACTAAAGAATTATCATGAGTGAAAGATATGATTTAGTAATTATCAAATTAGTTGAATTTAATAATTATCAATAGTACCTTTTATCTAGTAGTATAGACATGGCTATAAATAGGCACCCCCTCTGTTTTGTAATTAAGTCGATTAAAATATAGTCTTCAAATATTATTTCCATTCTTCTCTCTTTTATTTGTTTTCTCTAAACTCTAATTTTCTTCTATAATGAGTTGAATGGACGAAGTCCATAAATAAGGTTAATTTTGTATTTCAAATACATTATTTAATATTTGTTGGTATCCATGGAATTGTTAGAAAAGACATATTCACGGAGTACTTAATAAGTAAGGTGAGTTCTTTAATTATTAGAATTTCTTGGTTGTTCTTTACCGGGACAAATTAATTCTGACACGTCAAATTTCAATTGAATAGGTTTCTAAATAAAGCACTGTTAGAACATGATAGACAAGGGTGTGTAGCATAAGTGAAGTTGAAGATGCCAAGGCAATTTTGAGACTGATTCCGATATGGTGTTCCTGTTTTGCATATGGAATTGTATTTTCTCAGGCATCTACTCTTTTCATAAAGCAAGGACTTACCATGAATAGATATATCACTTCAACATTCCAGATACCCGCAGCCTCAGTTCAATCTTTCACTAGCGTTACAATAATCATCTTTGTTTGCATTTATGATCGCTTTTTCGTTCCGGTAGCTAGAGCCATAACCGGAAAATCCACTGGAATAACAATGCTTCAAAGGATCGGGGCCGGAATATTTTTCTCAATATTGTGTGTCCTTGCAGCTGCTCTAGTGGAAAGAAAGCGTCTTCAAATCATCAAAGAGTTTGGTTTAATTGACTTGCCAAAAGCAGTGGCCCCAATGAGTGTAGCTTGGTTGTTACCTCGATATTCATTATTGGGAATTTCATGTGTATTTACTGTTACTGGTTTACAACATTTTTTCTATGATCAGATGCCTATTAAATTGAGAAGCACAGGGCTTGCGTCGTGCCTCACGGTTTTGGGATTTGGAGAATTGCTTAGTGGCATTCTTATTTCTGTGATCCACAATATCACGGGTGGATCAGATGGACATGGAGATCCTTGGATTTTGGATAATCCGATGAAAGGACACCTGGATTACTTCTATTGGCTGCTTGTGGGACTCAGTGTGATTGCATTTACTTCTTTTGTGTATTTTTCTAAAGGTTTTCATTACAGGAATTAATTAGTAGGTTCGTTGGAGGATTACATAGTTCAAGAGACAAACTCATTTGTAATTACATCCGCGTATATACTCATGTTTAATTGCATGTCTATATGAATGTGAGAACTAGTCAATTCTTATGGGGTATCCAGCTATGGCCATACATTGTTATTTTTTGATTGAAACAATCAAATGCATGCTATTTGAATCAATCTCCATTTTATATGATCCAATAACAATATTCAATCACATATCATTTCTTCTATTAGTACACAAGAGATTACTTAATCTAATGAGAAAATTATTATTTAAAAAAAAAAGCATTTGGATACTTCTAATATTACTCTTCATTTTTCCTTAATTATATTTAAGATGATCATAACCTCCTGGCTCCTGCTCATTTTGCCTGCACTAGTTTGATTTCTTCTTGCTATTTTCACGTCTCGGTTCCATGCTATTAATTAATATTGATGAAGGATGAGACAAGCCCTTTTCAAGAATCGGTCTTGTGTTCATCAGAGCAGCTAAAAATTGGAGAATCGAGGTGTTCTTCCTCTTTTGGGCTATCAACAATTCAAGTGAGCGCATCAACTAATCATTAGTACTAATAAAAGTATTCATGTCCCGAAATTACTATGCAGTTTGAATTTTCAATTTTAGTACAAATTAAATTAAAAGTAAAAAACCAAATTAGACAATAATTTTGAGATGGAGGGAATATAAAAACATGTCAAACTATAACTAGTGTAAAAGTAATATTAACAATAAAAACTACTCCCTCGGTCCTTAAAAGAAAAATCTAATTTGAAAATTCAATATGAGAAGAAAAGGGATTCCCATCCTTTCCATGTTTTCTACAACTTTGTGTTAAACATAAACCCGGTTCACAATCTACCTTATATCTGTCGTTTATCATCAATCGCGTTACATTAATGTTCACTGCCTTTGACTCTTTTCTTCTTTGTTATTTTTCAAAATTTGAGTGCACTGTTCACCCTAGTTCTCTTATTACTTTTTTCCTCCTTTTATTGCCGTTTTTTAAAATAAATAAATAAATAAATAAATAATCATGTGATATTTGGTCAAATATGAACTGTGTTAACTTGTTGAGGGCGGTGGAGAAGTAATCCAGATGCTAAACGAAGCAACTCACACGTATAGATGTCTGCATTGAATAAGTGGAATAAGTCCCACAAGTTATCATCATTCTTATGATATCCAATCAAAAAATTAAAAAAAAAAAAAAAAAGAATCATGATTTTGTAAATCACTTGAACGTTCAATTAGCAACAAATGGAGTACTTAGCTATAATTGCATCGGATTCTGTCATCCGATTACAATGTGCAGACACACGTATATATGTAGTGTGATTTATCTCACCCAAAACTAATAGAAATGAGTAACGTCAAGTCAACGGTCTATTAGAAATGAGTGATCGTACAAATTCATGTAACAATTTATAAATTACAACAAGATATAAATCACTCTAAATAAATCCTGATTAATAGGGCCGTCGAATGCAAAATCGGGTAAACGGGAATTCTTTCTTCCTTCTCCACGTCTCTTTTCCTGTGTGTCATCTTCTTTAGCTTTCTTTCCAATACTAGAAGAAGACGACTTTTAATAAACTCCTATTAGTAGAAACACTTTTTTTTTTTTTTTGAAAACAAGTTATAGAAACTAGAAAGTAGAAGTATAGGGATGCATGACAAAAAATTTGACCCCACAAATTAAGACGAGCTAGCCACCGATCATATCGTTACGTGTACGAGTTTGAGTATTTATTTGTTTTTTTATATTCTTAATTCGAGTTCAAACACTTATATATATTCATCATCACTTGTAACGCATAGAAATTGCCTTGAATTAGGATCTCTAAAATTAAGGGTAAGAAAAACGTTGCATCTTTCAATCTCAGACTTATCGTACGTACGTGGTTAGTCATGGTTACGTCAACCGACATTTCTCCGGCGGTTGAAAACCCATTATTGCCGGAAAAGCATGACTTCGTCGAAGAGAACGTAGATTACAAAGGTTTTCCGGCTAAGCGATCCAGTTCCGGTGGATGGTTATCTGCTTCTTTCATCATAGGTATACAGATCAAATCAACAAACTGCAAATGTTATTTCTTTTTCTTATTTATATAGTTATGAAATTAATATGATTTGACGTTATTACTGTTTCTCTTTTTATTAATAAAGTGGTGCAGATGGCGGAGTTCTTTGCGTATTATGGAGTGAGTGCCAATTTGATCAATTATTTGACGGGCCCACTTGGTCAATCCACCGCCGCTGCGGCGGAGAACGTGAATGCATGGTCGGGAACTGCCATGCTTATGCCGTTGTTAGGTGCTTTTGTTGCCGACTCCTATCTCGGGCGATACCGCACCATTGTTATTGCTTCCGTGCTCTATATTTTGGTTAGTACGTACTGCGCTTCACCAAGAAATATCTTCTGTTAATTAACTGTTTTCTTTTGAGGAAAATGATTTTTAGAAATGGATTTCCTTTTCAAGAAGACTAATTTTCATTGCCAGAGCATATGTCACACTTACATCATGTATATGTATGTGTAAGTAAATCTTAAGATTCAAAAAAAAAAAAAAAAGTTCAGTAGTTAGAGGTCAATAATTACATTCAAAGTTGAATAGTAAAGTCTATAACTTAATTAAATTGATCGTAGAAAAAACCTGATACGAACACAATTTCCTTAAATTATATTTTTTGGTTTGATGAAGACAGAAAAGTTCCACGGTCTATGAGGTTAAGAACGCAAAATACATTTTCAAATCTGGATATTACAAAATAGATCCACGGTTTACGTCTCACGAAGAATATCATTTTCTAATTCAGACATCCCGGCGGGAAAAGAAAAAAGTAATCTAAAGAAGTTCTTCGAATATGCACATTCTGTCATCTTAGTTGTTAAGTTTAGTTTAAATTTTTTATAGTAAAATTTTCATCATCCTCTCCAATATACATTTGCTTTACATTGGAAGTTGCTAGAAGATGTACACATGGACAGAAGATATATAGTTTATGACATGTGATTAGATATATGCGCATGCACTTCCTACTATACTACTGGTTAAATATGAGATATGTCAACTAATGTAACACTTGAATATTGCAAGATACAAATGCAATCGAAATAATCGTCTAAGCACATTAATGTCATTTTGTTGACTAGCTTTTCTCAAAATAGCAAAAACATTGAAAATCAAACAAGTGAAGCGATAAAGAAATCAAAGTAATGTGATAATGCAAGCGCCACGTTGTGTGATGCGCACATATGCTTATAAGGAAATTACTATTCTGAATGTCAACGTGTTTATTTTTTCTCAACCAACAAAACTTGAAATAATTGAGTGAAGCCACTTTTTTCCACTTTGACCAATCAACTTCATATAGAACATCATAAATTTGGACTTCTTCAAGGTTGATTGACGTATAAGTAATCTTTTTTAAATTAATGCATGGAACACACACCTCAGCTTAGTATGTGGAAAAAACTTCATGATGGTTACTCAATCCTCATTGGTTTTAATCACTTGAAAAGGTACTAATGTATTTCTGCTACCTAATAAGTTCACTAAAAAGGTGATAGCGACTAATTTGTATTCAAGTATACACCTTCTTTCAAACAAAAAAAAAGAGGTAATTATTCATTATTAAATTTGAGACAACCAATAATTATTGCCTCGGCACACACTCACGTGCGTGTATCATAAAATTGAAAAATACGAATTTTTATACATTCTCCATAGAAAAAAAAAATAAAAACTAAAAAAAAAAACTATTTTTTGGAACTAAAACAATATATTAAAGTTTATTATTTTCATGAAAGAGATGAGTACATACTTCAAAACTTAAATTAAATTGTACATACATATAAACGATAAATATGATGATACATGAACTTCCCAATATGTGCATTAATTAGTTGTACTAAACTCTTTTGAATTGAATCCTGAATTGCAGGCACTTGGCCTCTTGACGCTTTCAGCTGTAATTCCTTCATTGGGTTGGTTTGATTACCAGAGTCCATCAAACAGTAACATCCCATGTCCTCCTTCTCAGCTCCAAATCATCATATTTGTCTTCTCATTGTATCTAATCGGAATTGCACAAGGAATGCATAAGCCTTGTATTCAAGCATTTGGAGCTGATCAGTTTGATGGATCAGACCCAAAAGAATGTAAATCCAAAAGCTCATTCTTCAATTGGTCCAGCGTGGGTACTTATGCAGCCATCACGCTTTCCTTCGTAATCCTGAGCTACATTCAAGATAACCTAAGTTGGGGTATTGGGTTTGGAATTCCTTGTTTGGTCATGATTTTTGCATCAGTTTGGTTTGTGTTTGGTACCGTCACGTATCGATTTCATGCTACTAAAAGTGATGAAGGCCAAGGCAAACCCTTTTTGAGAATCGGTCGGGTGTTCATCAAAGCAGTTAAGAATTGGAGAATTACTTCTGTTGAAGGAAGTATGGATGATGTAGAAAATCAAGGTGTTCTTCCTCATTTGGCTTCTAACCAATTCAAGTGAGTACACTAACTAATCATATATTACTCTCTCTGTCCTCAAAAAATTGCCAAGTTTGAATTTTTACTTTAGTACTATCTTTGTCCCAAAATCATTCTCCAGATTGGATTTTTATTTTTAGTTCAAATTATACTAAAAATAAAAGTCTAAACTGGAAGAAGGAATACAATCTAATAAAAAAATGAAAATAATTAATTCATAAGAATAGGAAATTTCCTTAACTTAATTCTAACCTTATACCCTTTCAAAAAAAAATAAAAAATTTCTTACCTTATATATGATTTTCAATTGTGTAGGTTTCTGAACAAAGCATTATTAACACCTGATCATGGATCAATAGGAAGTGGCAATGTTTGTAGCATAAGTGAAGTTGAAGAGGCAAAAGCAGTTCTAAGGCTATTGCCAATTTGGTTATCCTCTTTGGTATACGGAATTGTACTTTCTCAGCCATCAACTTTGTTCACTAAGCAAGGACTCACAATGGACAGATTCATCACTTCCACATTCCAAGTACCAGCAGCCTCACTCCAATCTTTCGGTAGCATTACAATAATCGTCTTTCTCCCCATCTACGATCGCCTTTTAGTTCCTGCGGCAAGAGCTATAACCGGAAATCCAACCGGCATTACAATGCTACAACGAGCCGGAACCGGACTATTCCTCTCTATTCTATCCGTCCTTGCAGCTGCTTTAGTAGAAATGAAGCGTCTTGAAACTATTAAAGAGTTTGGTTTAGTAGATTTGCCTAATGCAATAGTACCAATGAGTGTGGCCTGGTTGATACCTCAGTATTTGTTAATGGGAATTGCGCAATCATTCACGGCAACAGGTTTACAGGAGTTTTTCTATGATCAAATGCCTAATGAACTAAGAAGCACTGGGCTTGCTCTATACCTTTCAATCTTTGGTATAGGGGGATTTCTTAGCAGCATTCTCATTTCTGTCATTGAAAATGTCACTGGTGGTGATTGGTTTTCGGATAATCCGATGAAAGGACACTTGGATTATTTCTATTGGTTGCTAACAGGACTTACCGTAGTGGCGTTTACGAGTTTTGTGTATTTTGCAAAAGCTTATACTTACAGGAAACAGTAAGTCTTTTGCAGAAGGTTGATAAATGTATTTTGTTTCGATTTGGTTTTTTTGTTAAACTAATGTGCAGCTGAGTGTTGTGAGTTTTATTCCTTTTAATTGATTGTATTATGTGCACAAATTTAAGAAAAAATGTACCTAGCAGATATAGTTCAATCAAAAAGGCACCAGATCTTGTATGTATACCACATTCTTGTTATGCAATATGTTACACAATTCAATAATTTTGTATAAAAAGTTTTGTCACTTGTGTTAATATTGTACCTCTTACAATAATTTGGTTGCACTAGGTTCCTTTGTCCCAAAAAAAATCTACATTTGTTAAACTAAAACAATACAAGAAAGTGGACTAATTTTTTGGGACGAAAGAATATTATATTTCAGAACTTTAAGAAAATGTTTGTATTTCTTCCTTCTTTCCTTTGAGCAATTTCAACAAGATACAAGGAAAAAGAAAAAAAACGATAATTTCGAAGCGCAAAAGGAGAATCTAACCTCCGAAATGTTGGAGATCGCAGCCATGACAGAACTCTTTCTGTCGTTCCTTCCTCCTAGAGTTGAACTAATTCTTCGGGCAGTGGATAGTGAAGTTCATATCATCAGATCTTTTTCCTTTTGTATTCGAAACCTCTAACCACCTGATTCGTACCGCCAAATACAAAACGGCCTTGATGAAAGTTAAAAAGGGACGTAAGCAATATTATAATTCTACGTGTAGAGTCGATTTCATATCTTCTTGTTCATATTATTTTTCATTTTGGTCTGATAAATTGATCAAGTCAATTATCCGGTAATTAATCTCCCTAGCATTCAGCGGTTTATGGGCTCCTGCAATGCCCCGAATTATATCTATGTTTGTTTGTTTATCAACGACAACATCATTTTCACCAACATGATATGAATAATCCTTAATTACCTTAGTGTGTTGTTTCTTAATGGAGTACTAACTAAAATGTCTGATTCACTGATTACTAATGCAACAAATATCAACACAAACTGCACCTTCCTATACTTGATCAGATGTGGTGGAATCAGGCAACTTCAGAAGTTGCTTCCTAGAGTAAACATAAGACTTTGCAAAACACACAAAAACAGCTAAAGAAAATGCAGCAAGTCCAGCAAGAAGCCAGTAGAAATAATCAAGGTGTGCCTTGTTCAAATTGTCACAGAACCAGCCATCTTCATCATTTCCTCCACCACTATTAGTGACTTTCTCAATCACAGATATGAGAATGCTGCTCAGAAATCCTCCCACTCCCATGACACTGAGATACAGAGCAACCCCTGTACTTTTCAACTCATTAGGCACTTGATCATAGAAGAATTCTTGCAAACCGACAAATGCAAATGATTCAGACATCCCAAAGAGCAGATACTGAGGTATCAACCACGCCACACTCATGGGAACTATCATGCCCGGCTTGTCAACTAGCCCAAACGCTTTAGCTGTCTCAAGGCGTTTCTTTTCAATTACAGCAGCAATGGACATGGAAAGGACTGAGAGAAATATCCCAATTCCGATTCGCTGCAACATTGTTAAGCCTGTAGGTCTTTTAGTAATGGATCTTGTAAAGGGGACCAAAATACGGTCATAGGCCGGGATGAAGACTATCATTGTAGCGTTGATGATACATTGTAATGAAGCTGCCGGCACCTCAAATCTTGAGCTGATTGATCTGCTCATTGTAAGTCCTTGCTTCGTAAACAAAGTAGCTGGTTGAGAATATAGAATTCCGTAAACTAAACAGGACAGCCAAATCGGAAACAGCTTAAGGACAGCCTTAGCCTCTTCAACCTCTTTTATGCAGCAGACTTTCTTATCTTCATTTGAACCATCAGTTTCTACCAATGCTTTGTTCAGAAACCTACATCACAATTCCAAAAACAGGAGAAACTATCTAATGGTTGTTTTATTTCATGGAATAGATCATTAAGATCAAATGCTTCCCTTAAGAATTAGAAAGTAATGCAACCAAAAGAACTTAAATAAAATGATTACTTGAATTGAGGACTCTGCTCATTGGTAGAAGAGACTGAAGAAGATGAGGGTCTCCAATTCCTTGCTGCCTCCACAAAAACGCAGCGAATTCTGTTGAATCCCTCCCCGTGATTAACATCAATGCGAAACCGATATGTTCTAGTGCCAATCAAGAAGAAAACTAGTGCAAAAACCATGAGAAGACATGGAATTCCAAATCCAAGTCCCCAATTGACATAGTCTTGAACATAAGTCAAAACCAGTAATGTAATTATGATAGCCACAGAATTCCCAAAAGCCCACCAGTTGAAGAATGAGCTTTTAGCTCTACACTCATCTGGATGTAATTCGTCAAATTGATCAGCACCAAAAGCCTGAACACAAGGCTTATGCAGACCTTGGGCTACTGCTATTATATACAATGAGAAGAAAAACATTATAATTTGGAGCTGCAATGGAGAATCTGACTTGAAGGAAGGAATGATGACTGAAAGTGTCAAGAGCCCAATTCCCTGTTAGAATTCACAGCCACTAAAGGCTTTCAATTTTCATAATTTGAAAATTGGAAGAATAATTATGTTCATGTAAAAAGTATAAGAATGACTGACCATAATATAAAGCAAAGAAGCTATGATAATAGAACGATAACGGCCCAGAAAAGAGTCGGCAACAAAACCACCCAAAAGTGGCAGAAGCTGGGAGGTTCCCGACCAGGCATTCACATTCTTCGCCGCCGTGGCGGTGGTTTGACCAAGTGGGCCAGTCAAGTAAGTAATCAAATTAGCACTTATTCCAAAATATGCTGACCTTTCTGCCATCTCCACAACTTTGCAAACCCAGAAAATAAAAATGAAAATCAGTAATTTACCAAAACTTTCTAACTCAATTAGATTGTGACAATTATTTAGTGAACTGAATAAATGTCAGATATTTTACCCAAGATGAAACAAGCGGAAGCCCATTCGCCGGAATTGGACCGCCTGGCCGGACGGCCTCTGTAATCAACATTTCCGACCACAAGGTCGTCATTCGACTGTAACAACGGTGTCTCCGCCGTGGCCTCTGAAATGTTTGCTAATACAGCAGCCATGGCAACTGAAAAATGGCCGGAAAGAATTCGTGGTCTGGGCTACATGGATTAAAGGTTAAATTCCACCTACATTCATCAAACTGTTGTACGAGCAATGAAGTTCAGACAACAACCAAATGTACGACGTAGAAGTAGAAACCAAAAATGCATCAAATATAAAAGGTACTGCCTCCGTCCCAAATAAAAATAATTCACAATGAGTTTCAAATTCGTACTCAAAACAATACAAAATTTAAAGTTCAATGTGCATGGATTGATGGAAGCCAAATAAATGGCAATATGAGAACTATGTCTTGAACTCCATCTACAATTGCAGTTAGGCCTTCACTTGATATATAAATTGATGGTGAAACCTATAAAAAAGAAATGGGTTTGTGCTCATCCCGGATGTGTACCCCAAAATTGAACTCCAATGCCCAAGTCAGATGCGGCAGAGGTAAGACTAACCATGGAGTCATTGTGGTGAAGTGTGAAGTAGAAGATAGAATACAGTAGCGGCTTAAGGTGTTAGGGAGTCTAAAGCGAGTTTCGAAATTTAGGCCTTTTGAAAGTTAAAAAACTAACAAAAGAAAAAAAATTAACCTTTCTCCTTATTCATATTTTGGATCGACAATTACAAATCTAAAAGTTTATAGCAGACGAAACTAAGGTTTTATAATTTTGGAAACTTTTTTAAATTCCGCCTACAATATATATATATATATATATATATATATATATAATTTTGGAGTTAAAATTCAAATAAATTAGTGCTTGTTTGGATGTCCACTTAGTTTCATTTTTTACTTAAAAGTGAAAAGTCTTGTAAGTGAAAAAAATAATGGGAAATGAAAAAGTTGTTTGAATGGTATTTTAGCAAAAAGTTGTTTGGATGGTGGTTGGGAAAAAGTTTTTTAGAATATGTATTGAAATATCAAAAACGAAAAATATTACTAAACAATGGAAAAGTGTCAATTTTAGTTACTGTAAAAAATTATTTAAAAAATAATCACTAAACAACGGAAAAGTATCGATTTTGGCCACTATAAAATGATCACTAAAATCGCGGAATAACTTCTAAAATTAATATTTTAGAGTGACCAAAATCGACATTTTTCCGTTGTTTAGTGATGATTTTTGAATTTTTTTTACAATGACTGAAATTGACACTTTTCGATTGTTTAGTGATATTTTTCGTACTTGATATTGCAATACATATTCCAAAAAAAAATTTTCTAACCATCATCCGATTGGGCCTCGATTTTTTTACTAGAGGCAAACTGAAATAAATGTTCAAAATTTTGGATTTAGTCACTAAACTATTTTTAGTTCAAAAATAGTTACTGCACTAACAAAATGTTTCAAGTTTGATTTTAAAATGTAAATCAGAAAATTGTTCGGACGTCAGTTTAGTTAGTATTGAGTTTTGTGTTTAAGAGACAAAATGAGTTGAAAATGTAAAATGATTGGACGTCCAAACAAGCACTAAATTTTTTTGGTGATAGATTTTTCTTTAAAAAATATATACATATATATATATATGATATTAAAAATACTAAAAATTACTGATAGAATAAAGAAGAATAATGTAAACCTTTTACCTAAAGACTGATGAAGAGTATTTATAGAGGAGATACCCTAAAATAAAGGGCCAAGATCTATTATTGGCTAGATCCGACCCATGGTGAACAATGCGGGTCACAGTAAGTGGGACTATGGGTCCCATTAACTAGCACCACAGTCCGGAAGCAGTGGTTTGTACAAAGCACTGCCTGTGGACTGGACTAGACCTCCTCCGGACCTTTCTGCTCTGACTTCTACAAGGTCATTTAACTAGCCCCGCAGTCCGGAAGCATGAGCTTTTACCAGATTCTACTTCTGGGCTAAATACTAGAGAAAGAGTTGACCCTCAAGTACTTTCCTTCATTTCTACTTTGTTAAACAGTTCTTTTGAACGTTTTTTCCTTTAATAGTATTTTATGCTTAACCACGAACCCAAATGGCTTATAATAGTTATTGTGAAGATTGATCTTTTCTAAGTATATGGATTTTCTCAAATTTCTAAGCCCCGAACTTGAAGTGCTAGAGCACCTTAGTTCGGAAGAGTGGCATCAATTGCCACGGAGGTTAAACTAAGGTATGTATGACCATTTGACTTGTCTATGATGCACTTGTCACATTCGGACGGATGGGATACCTAAGCCATGTAAGTTGATTTCTACTTTCAAAGGAGAAAGACTTTAGTGTGTTTAGCTATTTGACTTATCCATGATGGACTTATCACAATGGTTTGCTCCGGAAGGTAGAGAAGAGATGAAAACCCCAAGTATCAGTGCTTAACTTCCGCGAAAGTCAAGTCATAATGCACCTATACTCTCTGACTTGTTCGTGTTGAATCTGTTGATTTAAGTAACAAATGATAAGGCTACCTTCCGAATGATTTATCGTCCGCTTATATTAAGAGCGAAGGATGAAATAAAGAATAAATGTTATATTGTCATACCATTTATCCGAACTAAAGAAAGAGAACTTCATGACAAAATAAATGTTATATTGTCATACCATGGGTATTATTCCCCACTATTTTGATGTTTATTCAAGTATTTGTATGGACATCAAACTAAATAGCATTAACTGAATTTTGTCCAAGGGAGAGGGTTTTGAAACCTTCCGGAGGTTACTGCATTATTAAAAGGTTTCCTTCTTGAGAAGTACTTGTTGTATTAAGGGAGGTCAAAACCTAGAATTATAGTAATATACTATATTTTCCAACTCCCAATTTAACACTCATCACGTACAGATGATGGATTTGACAATGTTAATCCTTTTGATGATTAAACAAAGTTACGGAAGTCTTGGCGAACCAGAGCCTTATAGACTTTTAAGTTCTGGTCGTGGTTTTTAGGCTTTTGGTCGAGTTCGGATCTCTAACCTAGGAGCTTTTAATAAGTTGAAGGTTTAGTTAGATATGCATGGGACTTATCATCATGTTGCTAGAAGAAAGAGTTTTGGCATTAGGAGCCGGAAGAAAGAGCTTCGGCATTTGGATCGAAGCAAGAGCTTTTTAGCAATAATCAACCGAAAGAAGCTTATACTTTTTAAGATCTAGGGGAAGAGAATTGTCAAGGTGATGGGCTTCTGAAGGAGACATATACTCGTCTGAAGGCAGAGTGATTATCAACGCTTCTGGCTTCCGGATGAGACATATACTCGTCTGAAGGTAGAGTGATTATCAACGCTTCTGGCTTCCGGAGGAGACATATACTCATCCGAAGGTAGAGTGATTATCAATGCATTCAGCTTCCGGAGGAGACCTACTCATCTGAAGGCATGGTGAAAGTGACGAGCTTCTGGAAGAGATTCATACTCATTCGTAGGTTAAGTAATTGCCGAGATGATGAAAAATTAGAATAAGACACGCATGTTTATGGTTATGTAGAAGAGGACTAAGGTTGTTAGAGGTCAAAGAGTTGTTGTGGCAATGGTCTCTAAATGAGACTTATGCTTTTCTTTTCTTTTCTTTTCTTTTTGACAAAGGTAGGGTCGTCTAGAGTAATGATTCATTCAAAGGATTAAAGGTGTAAATTTACCAAACTTTGAGTGTTTTGGCTCATAGATGTGTAGTCCTACCTCATTCTCCCCCTTTTCTTGAAACAAGAAAATAGGGAATAGTGAAAGTGAATATCAACGGGTCCGGAAGAAATCGAATTTTCGGAACAAAAGTATAGCAATGGCATCCAGAACCTACATGCTGCCAAAGCATAAAGATATAGGTTTTGAGGCCATTCATAGTAAGAGGTTAAACTGTAATGACAAATTTTCAAGTTGTAGAGACATTTTATTAATTAATCTCTTGAATGTTGTCAAAAAATTTCTTTTTTAAGAAGTTGTTGTCCTTTGAGAGTTGTTAGAGACAAGTGGTATCCAAAACAAAGGTCTAGGAGCCAGATAAGTGATGATGTTATGAGAAACATGCTGACCTATGATTATCTATCCTTTGGATCCACATAGATCTTTCATAGATAATAATAGTTCCGAGAAGTAATGTCATCTGGAACTAGGGTGGCTTTGATGGTTATTTATAACTCTGAACAGTGGGGTTCCGTAGGGATACATCTTTTGAGTATGCATTAGCTTTCAAGAAATGAGCTTTTAGAGTTGCTCTATAGTTAGAATAGCTATTGGAAGGCTTTACTAAACCCTAGTGAGGTGAAATAAGACTTTTGCTTTGTTCGTTCGGACCAAGACAATACTTATTATTATGGTCAAATTGAAGGAGTATTAATATTTCTGAGTACGGATGACGAAACCTCAGCCAAATTAATGGTGATGGGGATTGGTACACCTTGTCAAGGTGCTGCAAGGAGACTGACATCATAAGAAGTGTCTTGGATGGTTTCAAAGGCTGGCGTAATAGCTTCTTCTTTGTTAAAGATAGTGTACTGAACGGAAACATGGTTTGAGGAGATCCTGACTCGTCCATAAAGGATGTCTCTAGGATTCCAGATTCCTCTGCTTTGGTTGTTCAGTCTTTTGTCGTTCATTCTATGTTGGGTAAGATGTTGCCAGAGGCTGCACTTATCTATCTCGGTGTTTCGGAAGAAGTGTCGGAGTTTCGAGATTCATCTGGACAGGGTAGGGTGTGCTTTATATATTTCTTTTGCCCTGCTTTTATTTCATCCCTCCTTGCTCTTCTTTTATGATATGTGTTATTTGATTTTTATTTATTATATTACATATTGTATTATATATTTATATATATATATATATGTATATATATATACACACATAGGTATTTGTATGGGTATTGCTATCTTTCTTCGTTTGTTGTTGCATAACACCACTTGTTATTTTTGCTAATAAGTTGTTTGCTTATATCTATATTTAATTTGTTTTTTTTTTTTTGTAGTGGTATCTGTTGTTGACTTTTTGGATGATGAGGATTTAGACCCTTCTAGCGCCCAAGTAGTCTCTCCTTGGAAAGTAAAGGTTCTTCCAAATGCTCTTTCCCCGCTGCATCCGAAACGCAAGAATGTCTCTTCCAGTGTTGTTAAACTCGGCTCGGACCGGCCTGTTCAACCGGTTGAATCGGAAATCGGACTACATGCCGAGCCAAGTGACTTGAAAACCCCCTTTTCTGTAACTCGGTCAAAACCACGAGTGAACCGAAAACCGGGCAGAATCTGGTCGACCCGGGGTTTCTTTTTTTGCACTTTTGGGTCAACTTTTTACCTTTTCTCCCCTCGTTTCCCGTGTCTTTCTCCCTTTTTCTTGGTCCAAATATTTGCCTTTTGTTCTTAAATGGCCCAACAATTTTTATTCAGGAATTAATTTGTCATTTTAGTCCCAAATTTTCTAGTTCAACTTATAAAATAACCATATTCAAATTAAAATCTTTCTAAATATTTTTCTCACATATGAAATCCTATTATTTTACAAAAAATGTAACTATACCTTGAATATGATGAAATTAAATTATATATATACATTTTATTAAAATAAAAGTTGATTACCTTGTATAACTTTATAAATTTTAATCATAAAGAATTAATATACTTATCTTAAACTGTAATTACATGCTCTAAAGAACTATTGTTGACTATTACCATAAAAAAAGATTCATAAATATTAAGTTTTTCTAATTATTAATATATTTTTAAATTATATATTATTTATTACATCGTAATGACGTCATCTGAGTCGACCCCCCCGAGTCGACCCGAATCAATCCCTAAAACCCCTGACCCCTACCCACTCTGAGTCAGTGCCCGAGTCGAGTCTGATAACATTGGTCTCTTCTGCATGCGGCACTGCAGAATCGAATTCATCTAGTGAAGAAACGGAGGGGCCTGCTCCCGAAGGAAGTTCTAAGATGCTAAAGGTGATTAACCCGTCATCAGATGTTGAAATTCTAGCTTCTGATAAGGCTTTATCTCCGAAGAAGAAAGTTTTGGCTGTGGAAGATTCATTGAAAGAGAAAAAAGGGGGAAGACCGGCTGTTGCTGCCCCAATTAGAGAGGTTTTTGAAGGATCTTCAACTTTACCGCGTGGGCTCATAGGTCCGTCTGTATCTGCGGTGATGGGGTTTAAGCCGTTCCGTCTGGAATTTTAAATTACACATTCCGTATCTATACTTAACAGCTCCCATCTTCGAAGAGATTGGTTTGGTAACATCTTCCCCCCAGCCCACAGGGATTACTTCTGTACCATTTTTTATGAGGATGTGATTCAGAGAGCTACTTTCGCTTCTCTAGAGGTTGGGTGACTTGTTACTGATTTGTTATTTTTATTTAGGTAGTTTTGTTATTGATGTATTGGCATGTATTATCTACTTTGATGACTTTACTTATTATATTTTGATTGTACTTTACTTACCCCCTTATATATATATATATATATATATTATATATACTGCCAATCTGTGCGACACTTTGATCTCGCTTGTGAAGAGAAAGTGAAGGCTCGGAAGCAAGGTATGCGGGTTCGAAAGATTCCTATACTATTCTTCGCAAGGTAGAAAGTTTGATGGATGACTTGAAGGCTACCAAAGATGAACTCAACCTGATTCAGGTTGAGAAGGCCAGTCTAGAGAACAGGGTGGAGGAACTAGGTGATGCTTCCGCTCAGACTCAGGAAGAGAACAAAAATTTGCTTAAAGAGCTGGAAGCCTTGCGGAAGGATCGACACTTGTTAGTTACTGAGGGTATTCCTTATTTCTTTAATTAGGGTGTATTCGATTCTGTCTTTCAGAGGCAACTTAAAGGTGTAAACTTGGAAGACATGTCAGGTTATAACCCCGCCACGATTTCTAAGGCGCAGAAAGCTAAGGAGGCTCTTCGCCACTTAAGCTTGGACTATCACACGATTTTGGCTGACAATTCTCAGAATCCTGCATCTATACTAATGGGTATTCATGCAAGCGGCTGTGACCTATCCGGAAGCTAGTATTTCCCACACTGTAGTTGCTCATGGATCCTCCGGTACGGTAGATGCAGAGGGGGAGGTTAATCGGGCATGAATAAAGAATTTGACAAGGCCTTGTTTTCCCTATCATTTATCTTATTTGCATGTAATGAATCTTAAAGATATTATTGCATACCTCTTTCTCTTTTTTTTTTTGTATTGTGGGGCTTCAGCGTAGGTTGTTTCCTTGACTAGTTGTTGTAGCCTCCTTGATTTGTTGCTGGTTATTTTGCCTATTTGGCAGAAAGATATTTGCGCTTTGGCGCTTTGGTTACTCCTTTCTTTTATTTTCGCGGATGAAATTATTGTTTTTAGCTAGCTTTATCGGTGTGCCTTTCTAAGGCTTGCCGTATTGGTGCTAATGCTTTGCTAATATCCAGACGGTAATAACACATTAATCTTAAAGGTCTTTCAATAAGTTTAAAAGAAGATTACACTATAGCTAAAAGGGGTGAAGTATCACACTAGCTCCATTTCTCCCCTTCTTTTTTTTTTGTTATGAAAAAAGGAAAGAGGAATTCAAGATAGAGAGCTGCTCCAAGTGATAAGGTTAAAGGCTTTGGAAGCACTAATCAATGAGGAGCAAGCAAGAAATTTATATTACAAAATTTATCTCATATTGGCATGCATTCGGAAGTATGATTAATACAAAGGCATTTTTCATTTAAAATGAGAAGTGATGCATATATTTCTCTTGACTTAATCAAAAGTAAAGGTTGAAAGCCACTTGTTATTCTGCCCACTCGTTTTGGACCAAAGCAAAATTTTCACAAGAGATTTTTAGTCGTGTAAAAGGCAAGGGTTTGGTTTTATTTGTAAATACCTATTTATTCCTGCTATAGTGTTGTATTTAACACATATTTGTTGAAAAATTTGAGAGTGTGACTTACTCTACGGTATTAATCTTTTTAACTCATTTAAAAGATTAATATCTCTACCAAGTATTTACTTATAGATGTGATATACACTCATGATAACGATCCCTTTTAGGGTTATGAATACATTCTTGATCAATTTGAAAACTTTCTACCTAGGTGTTAACACATTCTCAAGCATAACTCATATGATTTCCAAAAATCATTGCATAAGTCTAGTTGCTGAAACTTTGAAAGCACATAAGGCATGCAAAAGGGGGCCAAAGACCTTTTGTTTGAAGACTTAATTGAATAGAATTTTGTTCCTTTAAAATCCAACCTTCGACATGGGGTACACTTATACATATAGACTCCGTAAAGAACTATTGCCGGAGCCTGCTGCACTTCCAGAATGAGCGGGAGAACTTATTGCCTCCGGTAAGATGTGTTACTGTCGGACACCATATGGAAGTGAGACTGGTCAAACGAGCCACCACCAGAGACGAGGCTTCTTCCGGGACGAACGCCACTACTGAAGGAGAAACTCCTGCCTGAGAAAAGCTAACCGGAGGTAGAGCTACGGCTAGAGAAAAGGCCACATCCGGAGGAGGAGTTACTTCCAAATGGAAGCTGTCGAATTGAAATCCGCTGTCGAAGGAATAGCTGCCTCCGAACAAGGAGCTGCTTCTGGAGAAAAGTTGTCTGAAGGAAAATCACTGTCAAAGGATCATCTGCTTCCAAAGGTGGAACTACTTCTCAAAGGAGAAGCTGCTTCCGGAGGGAAGTTGTCGGAAAGGAGGCTACTTCCAAAAAGAAGCTGTTAGAAGAGGAGCTACTTCTGGAGGAAAAGTAGCTGTTGGAGGAAAAACTATTGTTGGTGGAAAAGCCACTGTCAGAGGAGGAATTACTTCCTTAATAAAAGCCACTATCAGAGGGAAGATTGCGTCCGGAGGAAAAACCGCTACCGAAGGAGGAACTACTTCCTCAGGGAAAGCCACTACTAGAGGGAAAATTACTTCTGGAGGGAAAGTTGCTGCCGGCATGGAGGTTTCTACCAACTTTCGGAGGGAATACCGTTGCCGGAGGGGAGGTTTCTACTAGAGGTGTAGTCGCTAGCGAAAGAGAAACTAATTCCGTAGGGAAAGCCACTACTGGAGGGGAGGTTTCTGCCAAAAGGAAGCCATTGCCGAAAGAGAAACTATTTTCAGAGGAAAAGTCACTGCCGAAGGGGAAACTACTTCCGAAGAGAAAGTCGCTGCCGGAGAAGAAACTACTTCCGGAGGGAAAATCGATGCCGGAGAAGAAACTACTTCTAGAGGAAAAGTCACTGTTGGAGGGAAAACTACTTCCGGAGAGAAAGTCGCTGCCGGAGAAGAAACTACTTCCGGAGGAAAAGTCACTATCGGAGGAGAGACTTCTGCCAGTCTAAGTAACAAACAGAACCAGATTTTGGTTTTGTTTTGCACCCTCAAGTGGAGGCTTATTTAGCCAAATCCAAATGGGTTTTCAGAGTATGCTAAGGATATAGTTACCGGAAGGTTATGCCTTAGGCGGAGTACCAGGTTCTGGACTTTTCCTTCTTCAACACTGATTTAGCCTTTTTAAGGAGAGCTTCATAGTTTGAAACTATAAGAGGTCTTCTTCTTGAAGATATATACTCAAACATGAAGTCGTAGTTGAAACTTCATTGAACTTCAATCTTTATTTGAATATATACTTGTTTAGAGAAGGCACTAGTTTTTACTCAATCTTCTACTAACTTATGATAATAATTTGGTGAATGGGAAGAGCAATAATTCTTGATATCTTCCCCACAGTCGGCGCCAGTTGATGAAAGCCAATAAATGGCAATGTGAGAACCATGCCTTGAACTCCATCTACAATTGCAGTTAGGCCTTCTCTTGGTATATGGATTGATGGTGTAACCTGTAAGAAAGAAAGGGGTCAGTGCTCATCCCAGGTGTGTATCCCGTGATCGAACTCTGACGCCCAAGTCAGATGGGGTAGAGGTAAGACCAACCATGGAGTCATAGTAGTGAGGTGTGAAGTAGAAGATTGAATAAAGAAGAAGAATGTGAACCTTTTACCTGGAGGCTGATGAAGAGTATTTATAGAGGAGATACCATAAAATAAAGGGCCAAGATCTATTATTGACTAGACCCGACCCCACCCATGGTGAACAATGCGGGTCACAGCAAGTGAGACTATGAGTCCCATCATGGATTATTTTTATGGAGCAGAAGGAGTAGTATATATATTTATTTAAAATCAAATTATGAAAAAGAAAACACAGAAAATACCAAAAACGAAACGACTCCAAAGAAACAATCATAGTCATGTTTTATAATTTTTTAGAATATAATTTAAATTTATTTTTTAAAATTTTTTGTTGTTCTTTCTGGATGGACGGAGAATATTGTTGTAGTTGTTTTGATGGAGTTTGTTTGTGTCATATTCTAAGAAAAGCTTTGTCTACAAGATTCAACGATTCTGATATTCGCTCCGTCATGAACTTTTGTCTAGTTTTTAGTATACCTTCAGTCTTAAAGGAAAAAAAATTCACGTCGAATTTAGAAATTTATTATAAATTTTAAAATTATGTGGATGATATTTTTTGGGGGTAGAAAAAGTACTATAATTAATTTGGGAGGAAGAGAAGAATAACAACAGTGTCTCCACCTTTGAAATGTTGGGCAAGGCCGCATGGCTACTAAAGGAAAGATAAATTAAAAAGATTAAAGATCTACAAGTAATTTATGAAAAACAGTAATTAAAAAATAGATTACAAAAACTAGATGGTCCAAAGACTAGTTCTTGTTAGCATTTTCTTTTTCTTTTTCATTAAAAAGAGGAGGAGATTGTTGTGATTTGTGAATATTGGATGGTGATGACTGATGACATATATCCTTTTAGCTTTGTACTATTGACATGTCTATTGCTCATTATTGTCATATTGGAAGATTTTTGTTGACAAGATTCCGTGATTTTTTCCCCCCGTTAGATATTCCATCGTCATAATAGTATCTATGTTTTTATTTTATTTTTTTGTTTGAGGAAGTATCCAATGTTTTGTTTATCTGATAACAACACTTCTGATTTATTTCACAATTTTTTCCTCAATTTGTTTTAATTATAGTATTTTATATATTCTATTTGTGTAAAAATTAAAAATTACCAATCATTTTAGAACGGAGTGAGTGATTAACACATCTATCTAATAATTTTATTACATTAGTTTCTTAATGATGGTGTTTTCATTATATTTTTCGCCCCCTACTTCATGAGTATTGCACATGGTCCGATCAGACTAGAGGAATTTTTTTTTTCTTTTTCTTTTAAGGTTTCGGATCTTTTAGCTCAAGGACCATTAGTGTCTCACCTATTCTGACAATAAATATGTGAAGAGAAAATCAGTAATCCAAATAATTTACGGGTCAAGAGATTCGATGCTTTGTTTAGTTTTTTCAATGGTTTTTTCAAATTATTTTAATAATCCTATCTCAGTATATCTTTTTACATTTTTAATATACATTTTTATATTCCTAATACAAAAAAACCTAAAAACACATACTAAAATAACGAAACAAACATACCCTTAGCTTTTTCTTTTTTTTGAAAATGATTCATTTAGTTATAATTTATCCAAGTAGAGGGATATATCCTATTTCCAACCCATGCTTTTCTAGGAGATGTCTATCTATTTAAATCAAAACTAAAGATTATGAAAATGCAACTTTTTTTAAGCAAAATGTATTCAAATTGAGATTCCTAGCATAATATTATCCAAAAATCTTTGATTAATGAAATTACAACTTAAAAAAAACAAAACAAAAAAAAACAACAACAACAACAACAACATTCCCTATCTCATCATCTCTTCCATGTTCTCAACTTTCACATTTTCACATGTTCCTCAACATAAACAAATTACTCATCAAATAATCAATAATCAAAACCAGCTCAATCTGACTCATTCCAAACCACAATTCACAATTCTACCTGTCCACCCCACCAAAAAACCAGTCACCATCAAAATCCCCCCTGGATCAAAATCCCCATTTCCATCACTTTCAATCACACACACTCACACAGTACCAAAAGTAGTTGAGTGACTCACAATACACGTTTGATTTAGTTTTCAGACATTGAAAGTTCATGCCATTTTAAACACCACAAAGCAAAAAAAAAAAAAAAAATCGCCCCTCTTCCGCCCAAACAAAAAAAGGGTCATCGTGTATTGATCATGTGGGAGTGGTGGGACTGGTTGTGCCCTGTTTCTTCTTGTTCCACGTTTAATAAAAAATCTCAAGCTAATCCTTATAACCCACAAAAAATTCTCTTGCCAATTCAAATCCCACATGATCAAATCGAGGGAAATCCCTGCTGTTGTTCCCCTTCAATTCTACCATTCGCTTCATTAAAGATGATTCTGGCATCTTTACTGAGCCGTAGCAGTACTAATTGTAAAGTTAATGTTTATGTTAAGTACTTGTGCTTAGCTCTGTTTTCTCCTCTGCTTCTTCCCCTGTTTTTTGCTTTCTTCCCCTTTCTCTGTGCTCTGGAAATTTTCTTCCGGTTATGTCGCCGGAGATTGAGGCGGAAGAGGAGGAGGAGGACGGCGGCGGCGGCGAATGAGGGATGTGGAGGCGGAGGAGGTGGGATGATCGGAAATAATGATGAAATGGGAAACGGGCAGAGGTTGTTACAGAGGTATCTTGAAGATCAGCTGATGCTTGTTGTTGCATCTTTGTATGATCAATGTGGGGATGAGGATGAGGAGGAGGAAGAGGAAGAAGAAATTACAGGGGCTAATGAAGAATATTTTGATAATGAAAGCCCTTCTTTGAAATCAGGGAAAATCTGAATAAAAATCATTTGTAAAACCATATAACAGAAAGTCTCGTATACTTTCTCTTTCTTTTTTAGTCTTTAATTTGATTGTGATTTTGGGCATAAATCAGATATAGGAGTATTAGTCAAATGCTTGTACATGAAAGTCAACGTTTTCATCGACTTCTTTATAAGTTGTGGATGCCAGTCTTTGAAGGCATCGGTTTTTTATTTGTATATCTCATACTGAAGCAAGACTTGCTTTTCCATTCTTTCTTTTTTTTTTTGGCGAATTTTTTTTTTTAAGTGATACATGTATATTAGCGTAAACCGGCATCTATATTATTACAATGCATTCTACAAAAAATTAAATCATCTAATTCAATTATTACTAATCTGTTAACTTTAATCAGCGAGTAAGACTGAAAAACTAATTTAGAAGACCGAAATGAGAAAAGAACTTCATGTACCTCAGTGGGAATGAGGGTAATTGGATGATCCAACGTTAGAATTTCACAGTCTGTGTAGACTTATACTCTAATAGTAACAAACTTAGCATATTAGAATTATCCAATTTGTATTTGAACTGGATATGTGGGAAAAAAATGCAAATCCTAAAATTCGAGGGTCAATACTTGTTGAAATAAAACATGGTTCAATTAGATTTTTGAATTATATACAACGGAGAAATGGAAATTGGTGTCCGAATTATATTTAAATTAAAATTATGTACAACGAGAGTTTGGAACTTTGGATCATATGTCATGGAAATGATATCGCTTCATGTAATTTTTCGAATGCGAGTTAGTACATCGATATAAAGGAAACTGATCACGCAAAAGTAGTATCAAGAACGAAAAAGGGGATTATTTGGCCCATTAAAGAAACAACAAGAGAATAGGTCCACAAAATCCGGGAAGGCCTATATATGTATGATGGATCCATCTGGGAATGAAGCTACCCAACAAGATGGATTTAATGGAAGTTAAAATTAGTTTTTGAAATGCCATAATTAAAGAAAATTTAACTGTCATCATTGGTAGATAAGTCGTGTTATTAAAGCAATCATTTAAACCAATATCTTCTTGTGAGCCCATCCTAGCCTATAAATACTAGCCCAATCCATCGACTGCTTTTGGACCACAAGAAGCACAACTCCAGGCTCTCCGTAGTCCACACAGAGGCATAGCATCTCCATCGTCAATTTATTCAATTCCCACAATATACTTCTTCCAATTCACCTACTCATGTCATGACCTTACTTGACTCCCAATTTGAGATTTCATTCAACAACTTGGGGAAAAAAAAAAAAAGAAATAAAGGAAGAGAATTTTGAGGTTAATTCCATTACAAATGGTGAAAACAAACGTTCCTCAAATTTCATCATGCTAGATTCACAGTAAATCGTTAGCAAAAAAAAAAAAAAAGGTTAGAATAACACATGAAGTAAGTAACTTTGACAAAGAAAATTTATAATTCCCCGTCCCACAAAAATAGTCCACATTGAGTTTTGAGTTTTGTACTGTTTTTAGTACAAATTTGAAAATTCAATGTAGATTATTTTTGTAGTACGAAAATAGTAATAAAGTAAATCTGTTT